TTCGAATCCCACTCTCGTCATATATTTTGCATCTATGTCATTCACCTAGCCAATTGTCGATATATGTGCTGATAAATATAAGGGCTAGACAAGTGGCGAGATGGCCGAGCGGTCTAAGGCGCTGGTTTTAGGCACCAGTCTCTTCGGAGGCGTGGGTTCGAATCCCACTCTCGTCATATATTTTGCATCTATGTCATTCACCTAGCCAATTGTCGATATATGTGGTGATAAATATAAGGGCTATACAAGTGGCGAGATGACCGAGCGGTCTAAGGCGCTGGTTTTAGGCACCAGTCTTTTCGGAGGTGTGGGTTCGAATCCCACTCTCGTCGTATGTTTTGCATCTATGTCATTCACCTTACTGATGAAACACATATGTTTTGAAGCCATGCTGACATGGCCGATCAGGAAAAGGTGTTTTTTTGCCGCATGATTGTACTTCTCCATCTCATCATTTAGAATCGTGAATTTCTGTTTGATAATGAGATTGAAATAGATGAATGTGTTGGCATTCTGGTATTAATATCTATAATATGTATATATATATATAATTAGTGTATCTGTCTTAGTGTATATCTTGGTGTATCTCTATATATATATATAATTAGTATATCTTATTATTTTGCTCTTGAAAATGCTCTTGAATTATTGCTTCCGTGATTTGCTCTTGATTTTTGAATTTCCTTTCAATAGAGTTCAGTGGTTTTAATCCGTGTTTGGAGCAGGAATAGTTCAATTTCTGGGTCTACAGGTATCCTGTTATTTTTTAAATAATTTTTTGCCTTTGGACGCATCATCTTAATGTACACTGGATAGAAATATTATGAATGCAAGAACACTAACAGAATGGTAAGCTCTTCATTTGACTTCATGAAGGAAGATGGTTTGTTAACATGAAAGTCTCTTGAAAGTACGACAGATGAAGAAAAGAGTCATAAAGGAAAGAAAAAAAGAGTAAAGAAAAAGAAAGTAAAGATAAAATAAAGTAGTTCTTTAAAGGAAAGTAGTCCCATGAAGAAAAAGTAGTTCTTCCTTGACATATTATTGGTATATGGGTTGTGTATCAAATTAAATCAGCGCCATTTATGTATTTAAACTACGGTGACCTCTAAGTTCGAGGAAAACCTTAGTTACTGCCCTAAAACAGTGAAATAGCAAGTGTGCCATTAAAATATTTCCACACCATCATTTTCTTATATGAATTGAGAAAAAAAGAAAAGAGGAAGAAAGGACTCAATATTACTTGGGACTTATATAGCATTTTTAAAACTCTTTCAAAACCACTCAGTTCTCCAAATTTGACCTTTTCGCAACTTTTCAGGATTTCCAATACTATCTAGAAGTTGTCCGAGATGAAAAAAAAACGAGTAATAGAGTTTGCTAGAGCTATATAAGAATAATAGTTTAAAATGAATACCGGCCGTTGAATATCTCTGCAGAAGGATTCGCTTTCGTGTAATGCGAATAAATTCACCTATTTCGACAGCATCTCAAGAGCCATTAGCTGGTAACACTAATCATTTCCCATTCTCCCTCCACTTCAACCTCAATCTCATTAATTTTGCTTTGCTCATTGGTTCCACTATAATGGCTCTATCCTCTGATTTGATGGTATGTAGTATAGTTTGCTCTATGTTTCTACGTATGTCATAGTCACCGAATCATCCGGATTCCCGTTGATCATCGACAGAGTCGAAAGGGTAGTAGTAAGACATCTACTTCATGCGTCGTGCGCGGTAGTAGTCCAATCGATTTGCTAGAAAGAATCTTTGAACGCGACTACTCCTTTCTGAGGGTATTGTAAAGAGCTCTGACCATCAAGCAGCTCGTCCTTCTACAATGCGTTTGATGTATACAAACACCTAAACCTAGTATTCACCGGTCATTGTTCATATTCATCACATGTCCGGCTCATCTAATCTTAATCCTAAATCCACCTACGTCTGAAGTCAAGAACACGGTCCCTTTTGGCCTGCGATTTTTCCCTTATCCGTCACGTAAGCTCGCAAACAAACGGCTAGAGATCACTCAAAGAGGTGGTCTGTGGTGGCATAGTATAATGGCTGATCATTATATATTCGTTGTGTGATCACAGCATTTGATGATGTATTCTATTTGCCTGAATATTAGTTAATTTATTAATTACCAGCGTATGAGATTCTTTACGAAAAATGACCAAATTTTAAAACTCGTAAGGCGAAGTATCCGAGCGAAAACAGCTGGCAGCATTTACAAGATAAGGTACGACTTAATACCTTCTTACAACGATGCGATGAGATAAGCTTCGGAGTTTATTAGCGTAGTTGAATGTGTGTCGTCTATACAGCGACTACAGTAAACCACTCTTCACCTTGTCGGTGCTGTTTATCTTACCCGAATTTCTCTGTCACCATTTTACTGATCCCAGAGGGAAGGCGGGTTTAAAATGCCAGGGGGACAGTGGCGTGCCTAATTCAAATCTGCGCATCTGTCACTGTGGCACATACACCACTGCGCCACTGTGACTTTTTTACAACATCAGTCAGCAATAGTGCACTGCTCAATTTCTAACTGTATAACATCAATAAACTTGATGAAAATTTTCATATTAATGCTCTTTGTGGTAGGTTTAAAGGTGACGGAAGGGGTCTGGGAAGGGTGGTGGCCCCATAGTGCTGACGCATATTGAAGCATAGAACTTGTAATGCTGGCTCATTGATGAGGTTAAACAAATATTTACCATACAATATAAAATGTTCTTCCATATTTTAAAATCGTTATCAAGGCAATACAACGGTTTTTTCAACGGTCAAGTGAGATCATTTTCGTCCTTATGTCGGTTGCGAGCTGTGATTCACGTGGTATAAGAAAACAGATATGGCTATTTATGCGTTCTTCGTATGTATGGCATGACATTATAATTTATATTTTTCGTTTAGGGGCTAATATGCCAGAGTCGAAGGCGAAAGAGGAAAAAGTTTCAAAAAATCAAAAACCAGATAAGGTTGTTGCCACGTTAAATCAGAAAGGAAGACGGAAGCCTACAAATGCACTGGATAACAACCTTGCACTTTATGCCGTGTGTTCTTAACTAAATTTTAATGTATTATAAATTTGCATAGATATGAAAATTCATCCTAGTGCGAAAGTACTAAGTATTTGAAAAAAGCACGAATAAATAATCGTTCTGTTAAGGCGAGAGCCGATTTAGGAGCAAAGAAAGGTGAAGCCAGACGGAAAAACTACTTCCAAGTTTTGGTAATTTTCCAGTCACCTTATAGACTGTAATAATAGTCCAAGAATAGGATAAGTTGTTATACAAATTTAGGATCAATATCAAACAACGGTTATTGGCGGAGCCACAACTATTGGAGGTGCAACGGCAATCAATGATCGTGAGGATGAAGAGTTTGCCGAAAAGGTACACAGTTTCAAATATGATGTTCCAAAACGACTGGATTTAGCGATAAGAACAAAGTGCTCATTAGATTACAATGAAATTGATCTCAAGCACGAAAACTACATAAATTCAGCATGGTATTTTTGACTTGGAGGCGCATTGCCAAGTGACGCACAAGTCGCAGGTTAGCTCGCGGCCGCAACCTAAATCTATCAAGTCCGCCATCCCTCCAGAGCCAGCAAATTGGTACCAGAGAAATCTGGGTAAGGTAAACAGCACTGAGTTGATGATGATTGATCAACTCAAGTCACTGTATAGATCAGGCTTGCATTCAGCCATCTCTATATTAAACACGAATGCGTAGGCTTAGATCCTAAATCTAAATCCTACAGAAACCTACCAATGACAAAGTTTGTTTAACCTTGTCATTATTTTTGACTGAGATGAGATGAGCTTTGGCGTTGAACAATCCCTGTTACAGGATACGCCCACTCCTTCGAGTATAACGTGATATCGTGGAGACAGTTGAATGTGAGCCTGATCTACACAATGACTGAGTTGACCACTCTTCACCAAATCAATGCTACTAATCTCACCCATAATTCTCTGGTATCAATCTACCGACCTCGGAGGAATGACGGGCTTAATGGGCTTGGATGGCGGCCGCGAACTGATTCGAGCCGGCAAGCCCCTGTTGCATCTCCAGTACTGAGCCAGTGCGCCTCTATTATCTTTTTGGGTGTAATTTATTTTATTTCTTTGTCTTATTATGATTATTGTTACTTATTTCCATTATTTATATTTTATTATTTTTTACTTACTGTCGTAAAAACACCATATTATTAACATTAATAGTAGCTATTGGAATAGGTGATAGATAAAATTGCCTAAAGAAGGAATTTTATAATTAGAATGAAATATCTACTATAGTGGAAATTGCTGTGAATATTCTCATTCAGACAAGGGAGGAAATGACACGTTTTCTACAAGACGAAAAACTTATCGAGACCAGATTTGAATTCAACAATATGCTTAATCCTGTTGGAACGAAATTCAAAAAAGAGAAACTCAAGGCCGGATTTGAGGAGGTTTCAATGCAATATTTAGCCCTGTAGCCATTTTACATTTTACTGTTATGCTTCTCCTCAAGTATCAGTTAAAGTACAGAGCGACGATAGCTCCATGTACTATGGTGACCTTCCATGAAATAATCTATAAAAGCAGTACATCCACTTTAAGTATCGTCGTCTTGAAGAAGCCATTGGAGAAGACATGATGAATATACTTAGCAAGACAGAAAATCTTGACGGTACAGACGAATTCAAACGCAAGTCTTAATAATTTTTCATTTCCTGAATTATAATGTTGTCTTGCAGTCAATGAGTTAACACTTTTCAGTTAAAGATGCACCAATTTGTAAGCCTTCAACTTTAAAACGAGTCGACGATCCAGCTTATGAATTACAATGGATGTGATGAATCAATATATGTGAACAGAACCAAACTCCTACCTTAATTAAACATCGACCCAATTGAAAATGAAAGAAATTCATTTTAATGTTGAGTGGTTATATTTCTTCTAAAATGTTCGTTGGCAATAAATGAAAAGCTCTATGAGTTCCGTATTTCAGTCAAACTGCTTAAGTTCAGCAGTAAATTACCCGACTATACTACACGAATAAAATTATCGAGAGTCAAAAATACTGTAACAACATTAGCTTCATGTGAAAAATGCATACACCGTTAGTGAACGATTGAGGTGATTTGCATAATCTGTTTGGAGATGAATTGAAAAGCAAATGTAAAACAATTTCAATCATTTTCTTAAGAACAGAGACAATCAATAATGCATATGCCAATTAAGTAAAACAATTCGTCGATAATAAATTTTAGATAGAAACAGCTAAAATATTTTTGGTACAGATTCGATAATAAATTTCAATAGATCACATAT